AAAGGGTACGTGCAACAGCTGACATTATCTGTTCAATAGTGATTTGAAAACTTATTTTCAATTGATAGATATCCCTTGGCATTGGGAAATCTTGGCGACTTACAAGAAATAACACTGACCCCTGGCCGACCATCTGCAGAAGAGATTCTGAAAGAAGGCATCAAAGTGAACCAAACTCTGTACAAGGACCAGCACATCTACCCATACACCTACCTTGGTGGATATTATTACAGACAGAAGCAATATTTGAAGGCCATTGAGTGCTGGGTGAAAGCTGCGTATGTTGCCGGAAAGTAAGTAATTCTGGTAGTTTTTCTGAAACATTCAGAACCTCTTTAAATAATTATGTAAATCTTGTTCTACACAGGACTTTTCTGAGGTTAAAATGTTTTTAAAGTGTGATGTTTTGGTCAGTTTTATTGCCCAAAACAAAGTCCACCATATTGAGCTGGAACTATCATGGTGCCAGAAGAAGAACAGTTAAACTGTCTGAAATGTTACATTTTTAAAACATTTTAACCTGTGAAAAGTCCAGTGTAGACCAAGATTTATTTTGTTTATTTTATTTATTTTATTTATTTTATTTATTTTAAGTAATTCTGTATATCCAGATCCAATAGCTGACTAAGGTAATTTTTAAGAAATGGTACATCATACAGTCATGTAACGGTGAACTTTGATTGGGTTTTGAAATCGAAATTAAAATAAATAAATTAAATTAACTTTTTGCTGTCTGTGGAACTCCTGTATAGTGGTTGAACATGTACTGTAGTTTCTGAATTAACCACTGGAACTCCAAGGTGTAGCTGTAAGTAAGCCCCACAATCATTTCATTGACGCACAGTAAGCAAAATAGCGGCCAAGAGAATTGAAAAAACACTTGCGTAATAAACACTGGGCTCTAGACCATTTTCGTATTCTTGGTACTGGACTGCAACTACATGTAGCTTGCAATGGAGGCTTATGTGGGGGCAATATCATTAATTAAAAAAATCATTAAAAAGAGCTTAATTTTATTTGAATGCAATAAAAAAGACTTCCCCAAGGATTGGAAAATGGCCTAATAAACTACCGGTCACTGGATTAAAAAAAAATCCTGGGTCCACGAGGACAATTTTAAAATTTATAAATGCATGGGATGTTTAACCATGAAAATGCAGACAGTACACAGACTTTTTTCATTGTGCATTTGTAACCAAATTAATTTGATTTCAGTGCATTCAGATGTTTTCCCTAATAGTGCTCTTTCTTTCCTCTGCTCCTCTGTACATTTGTAGGTACAACTATTCAAAAGGAGATGAGGAGATGTTCAAAGAATTATATGAAATAGCCAATGACTTTATCCCAAACATCCTGAAAACATCATCTTCAGCTTCAGTCAAAGGTGAAAACAATGCGGCCCCTAGGAATCTCGACCTCACAGAAGATCCAGGTTTTTTTGCACTTGTTCTTCAGTTTTATGATGGTGTTTGCTTGTGGGAGGAAGGCAGTCATACTCCTGTGTTGCATGCTGATTGGGCGAAGAAACTTGTGCAGTCCATTTCAAGATTCTCGCCAAGTTGTAGATCTGCGTTGTCGACTTCACGAGCAGGAACAGTTGTTGTGACGAAGTCTGTGGAGCCCCCCAAAAATGACTTGCCTGAAATAAAGGCACCTGTTAGTGGCACCACCTCTTCATCCTCTTTTAATGAGAAGCTTGAAAACAGCAACTCGGCATCAGCTAGTGTAGAAAACTCTAAAGAACGAGTGGTGCTTAATCTTAGAAGTCAAAAAATGAGAGGAATGAGAGATCTGCTGACAACAAGTGGTAAAATAAACACCAGTGCAATCAAACTTCAGCTAACAGCCCAATCACAAGTGAGCGTGCCGAAGAGCAGAAGGAGGTCATCGTTTAAAACCGACGACTATGTTTATGACTTTGGGGAGGAAGGCGAGGGGGAGGATGAGGAGGAGGAGGAAGAAGAAGAAGAGGAAAGGAGACCAAAGAAAGCCATGAAAGCAGATTGGGACTTTGTAGCATACTGAGTTTTAGTATTACATTCATGTGGTTTGTTGTTATTCACAGGAAAGAAAATAGTATTAATATTATCAGAAGTACTCTTATGTGCATTTTAATGACATACAAACCTTGCTCACTTTTGACTGCGGTCGCTCATCATAGTGAAACTCTCAGGAAACAGTCACTGGGCACAAAAGGTCAGATTTTGATCCAGTAATGTTTGTTTGTTTGTTTCTTTTTCACTATGATTATGATTGACGACAGAGAAAAATGCAACTATTGATAATTAGGTGTTGACCTTCTTTGTTCCTGAGCTATCAAAATGCACAATACGGAAAATGAAAAGGTGAGGAATGTAAAAACAATTCAACCACATGTAAGCACTTGACTCAGCTTACATGTATAGTCTAAACAGGTGAAGCCACTTCAAGTTGTAAAGAAATGATTGAGAAGTTCATTGTGAAGTGACTACATGAGTTTTTAAAACCTTCACTCCTCCTACAATGGTTTCGAAATGAGCCATTATTTAAGTCCCATGGTGACTGATTGTGTGGCTAGACTGCTATAAGGATGGCCAGCTATTGTTTCTATGTGGTAGATGTTAAATCAAGAGATGTGAGTCTGAGTGTTAGATAGCATCACTGTGTGATTTGCGTGTTAGTGGATGCTCACTGTGCCAGTAATGTTTTAACAGGAAGTGATCAAGTAAAGGAACAATATTCTGGAGTACCTTGCAAGGGATAGCATCCCTTCCAGGGGTTAGCAATATACCTGGTCTTTTTGTGCCACAGAAACCAGGATATGCCTTTGTTCCATGTGATTATGAACTCATTTTTTTCAACGTCAAAATACTTTACCATCTTTTAAAAAAAAAAAATAAGATGAGAGTTATCAAACCTCTGTTAAAAGGTTTACAAAAAAGTGAAAAGCATGGCCATATTACCGCTAGACCTACACTGTAATTAGTCTTTTTTGCCCCATTGTACTGTTGTGTGGAGTACATTAACTGACTTAATTTGATTGGCTATTACCTATTTTGGGAAGGGGGACTCAATAAGTTTTGATTGTTTTTAGGGGGAGGGCTTTTAAAAATGAGTGGGAATCAAATAGGTCCTAAGAGGATTTAACAAATTAGTATTTTACTGTAATAGTATTATATTTTGACAGCTTTCATTTTCCACTTATTATTCACTAGCTAGGCCAGTTTTAGATGACAGTCATAAGCATTTTACAATGTATTTTACTGGTAATTTTGTATACTGGACATTTTACCTGAGCCATTCTATGTAGTCATCATTTACCTAAGTAATATTATTATTAATTTATTATATGGCAAGTTAGTCTTGAGGTAAAACTGAGTGTTCTGATTGGTTCTTTCTTGATTGGGATTTTGCTACATGGACTGTTTCCATAGGAATGGCCATAAGCCATGTATTTTTTGTGTTTGAAACCTTGCAAATTCAAGTCCCAAATGCCATGTAATAAACTAGTTACTAATAAACCTAGTTTGCTTGAGCCGTACTGGAGAATGTTTGCCCATGGTTATTTTTGAATGGACCACATTGTGCTCGGTCTGTACTGCCACAACCTGGGGCAAATATTCCCCAATATGTCCCGGGCATTCAGTTAGTAAGAGGTCTAACTTACTAGAGAAGTGTTCAACTGTCAATCATTTAAATATTTACTATTTTAATGCTTACCCTGTATTCCTGAAGTTTAACGACACATTTAATATAAACAAATAATTACCAACACATTTAATATAATGGTGGATATATTCGTTATCAGCCTTACTTTTTACTGGACAGATAACAACTGGTTTCAAGATTCAGATTATAACTTATGAAGGAATATTTTTCTCCTCAAGACAATGCCCCAAAAATAGGGTTTGAAGTTCTTATTCTTATCAGGAGCATAGTGAAAAAAAAAATAGTGAGCTGGCTTATATTAGTGGAAATCCTGCAGCCAGCTATTGATGTCATGTGTAAACCCAGAAGCCCTTCGGTGGGGTGGTTGGGGATTTTTTCTGAAGCAACCTGTTTTTAATTTACCACAATAATCAAACAGTACAAAACTTACCCAGGGAAACTGAAAACAACGTCAGTCTAAGCTAAGGATTAGGCAGTTAACAGTAGGTTGTTGGGAATACTTTGTTTCATGGCTCTTCCAATGTTTTCTGATGTACCTGGTTTTGGTATGCTTCTATCTCTTTGCTCATTTAGAAATCTTAGTCTGCTAGGTAAGCAAGAGGGAATGTAGAACCTAACATGTGATCAGGCAGTTGTTTTTTGTGTGGTCGATCCACCGCCAAAAAAATCAGAAAAAATGAAGAGTGCAGGTTACATTTAACCCAGTTATTATTGGACTACATACATTTGCATCTTAATATTCCTTAAAAGGCTTTTACAAATAGATACGCATGTCAAGTAATAGTCGAAGTAGCATGTAAAGATTGCATAGTGTGATGAAAGGTGAAGATCACAAAAAGAAACAAAATATAGTGATGAGTATTTAATTTGTCCTAAAAATATCTACCTGTTATGATATTAGCAGGTTGCAAGAATTTAGCAACTCATCTGTCACCTTTACATATCATTAGGCCGGGGGTGATCAAGTGAATATTTCATGTCCGGCTACGTACTGAAGGCGTAATTACATTGTATCAAGTATGAAATTTGAAGTGTTATTCAGGTTATTTTCATATTCTTGAACATATTACAGTGTGACTGACTTTGAAATAAAAAAAATCAAAACTTTGTTGTATCTTTGTGATACCCCTTATTTAAATTAATGTTAGTGAAATAGTGTTAACTTCTAAATTGTCCCCAGCAGGGTTACCCAGTTCTATTATAGTGACAGGGGTTGTGTGAAGCCCTATTAATTTTGTGATCTGAGATGGTGTTCAAAATAATGCAATGCCCCACCCCCAGAACATGCATGGGAAAAATGGGAGGGAGGGGTGGGGGGTGTTTGTTGGGCAATTTTCTGGGGCAGGGTTTTTTTTTTTTTGTCACCTACAGGTTGAGCATGAATTTTTTTTGGTGGGCAACAGCTTATGCAAGAATTCTTTTTAAAGTCAAACACAGGACCTGGATAGTAGAAAAGTGCAAGAATTATTTTTGGAAATTGCCCAACGCTCTCCTAAAAAAAAATAATGGATCTTCAATATGTTCAAGGCACAATTTTCGGACCACCCCTCCCTAACAATAAGGGTGTTTGCCTCGTTGTCAGTCACAGCAACATCATGCAAATTTAGCGACCATCGAAATCAACACGAGAAGGAATGTGATGCTAGTTTTTGGTGGATTTTTCTTCTGGCATGGGGTTGAATTGCCTGAGAGCATAAAGAAGATGGATTTAAACATTTAGAAAACGTTCAGGGACGTAGATTCCGTTGTTTGGTGTTATCTTAAAGGAACCACTGTCTCTAATAGAGATCAACGGCATTACTGGTCGCCATTTTGAAAATCTGTCTATCGGGGTTTGCGTCGGGCGAATCTAAGAGAACATGACGAATCTTGAGGGAAATAATCGCAAATGGACACAAGATGAAATCATCAACAACACAAAAAACGTTGTTCGGGGGTTAGAAACCTTGAAAAATGAACATTCGGGGATCTTGAATAGTCTCAATTCGAACAACGAGAGCGATGGAGAGAACGAGTTAGAGCGAGAAAAGGGCTCTATCATTCAGGAATCGATCGACAAGATTGAACTGGGATTAGGAGAAGCCCAGGTGAGTATTCTTCTGAGAACTGTGTTTATAAGAGGGGTTTGTTTTTTCCCTGAACGATGGGTGTATCTAAGCTCATAAGGCTTAAAATCAAAAAAAATTGATGAAAACATGTACACCTTTGCTACGCAACCATGCTGGCGGGTACTGCTAGAGCTCGTGTCCTATTTATTACTCCCTAGATAAGAATTTATACCACCTAAGTGTAAAGATCAACTTGTAAAAATACGAAGGGAAATTTAACATCCAACATCTTAACGAAAGGGAATTATTTATATAGATATTTTTCTCTTTGCCGCTGACAGTGCTAAAAATTCATCGATCGTGACAGATATTTTAGTGAATTTCTTATCGTGTGTTAAAATCTTTCCTGTATTGATGTAGTCACGAGAAATCCCTGTCCAAAGCAATGTGCTGCTGCTTTTGTAGTTTCTTGTTCAGTTATGTCGGATAAGAAATTATAGGTTCTTTCACCATTTACGTGTATGCTTAATTTGCAATTTGTTCATAAAAACATCTTTTTGTTGTCTTCACTTGAGGAAGAACAGCAAAATAATGACATAAAACTCGTGTCTTTTGTATTATATTTACAATCCAAAGCTCTGTGTCGCAAGTTTTGAATTTAACACACGAGAAAAAAATATAAATCGGGTCAGAATTCGCCCTTGTTGCCTACCAAAATGAAATTAGCCCTCATTAGAAATTTCAAACAATGCCAAGCACTTTAAGTGTTTGGTTTAAATTATTTAAGAGTTTAGCTCAATAACTTGCACTATGGGTGTCCCAAAGTGTAAAGAGAAAAATAACTACAGTACTTTCTTGTCAAGGATCGTTGCTTTGACTATACATTAGGCTCTCTTACATTGCTTTTTAGACACAAGCTAACTTTACTTATCTAAATTGTATTATTTTTCTCTGGAAGTTTACCATGATGCTATTGAAAGTCTTTACACTGACTGTCCTTAGCTTTCTTGCTGAATGTGTCCATTTTTTAAATATTTCACAGCTCGTGAAATTATGTTGAAATTGTTGTCTGGTGTAAAGCCACTTTTCCAGTTTCTCACAGACAAACAAAAGAGAAAATTCGTAACTAATTGCACTGTCTATTAAATTACATGCAGTATTTCTAGATTTTATTTCTATGTTTATTGTCCATGTAAAAGGTGATTTGTTGTTCTTATTGAAAGGCATAAACTACTCAAAACACTCTTTAACTGAGTAGTTTTATAAAGAACATTGTTTTACAGTATACAAACCTTAAACTGACACTCAGGTTTTTGATTTCCATAAACATTCAAAAAATGCTACTTGAGATGCCCACAATATATTTATAATAAGCATTTTTTGATTAGTCAAGACTACAACTATTTCACAAATGTGACTGGCCTGTGAANCACAATCATTTCATTGACGCACAGTAAGCAAAATAGCGGCCAAGAGAATTGAAAAAACACTTGCGTAATAAACACTGGGCTCTAGACCATTTTCGTATTCTTGGTACTGGACTGCAACTACATGTAGCTTGCAATGGAGGCTTATGTGGGGGCAATATCATTAATTAAAAAAATCATTAAAAAGAGCTTAATTTTATTTGAATGCAATAAAAAAGACTTCCCCAAGGATTGGAAAATGGCCTAATAAACTACCGGTCACTGGATTAAAAAAAAATCCTGGGTCCACGAGGACAATTTTAAAATTTATAAATGCATGGGATGTTTAACCATGAAAATGCAGACAGTACACAGACTTTTTTCATTGTGCATTTGTAACCAAATTAATTTGATTTCAGTGCATTCAGATGTTTTCCCTAATAGTGCTCTTTCTTTCCTCTGCTCCTCTGTACATTTGTAGGTACAACTATTCAAAAGGAGATGAGGAGATGTTCAAAGAATTATATGAAATAGCCAATGACTTTATCCCAAACATCCTGAAAACATCATCTTCAGCTTCAGTCAAAGGTGAAAACAATGCGGCCCCTAGGAATCTCGACCTCACAGAAGATCCAGGTTTTTTTGCACTTGTTCTTCAGTTTTATGATGGTGTTTGCTTGTGGGAGGAAGGCAGTCATACTCCTGTGTTGCATGCTGATTGGGCGAAGAAACTTGTGCAGTCCATTTCAAGATTCTCGCCAAGTTGTAGATCTGCGTTGTCGACTTCACGAGCAGGAACAGTTGTTGTGACGAAGTCTGTGGAGCCCCCCAAAAATGACTTGCCTGAAATAAAGGCACCTGTTAGTGGCACCACCTCTTCATCCTCTTTTAATGAGAAGCTTGAAAACAGCAACTCGGCATCAGCTAGTGTAGAAAACTCTAAAGAACGAGTGGTGCTTAATCTTAGAAGTCAAAAAATGAGAGGAATGAGAGATCTGCTGACAACAAGTGGTAAAATAAACACCAGTGCAATCAAACTTCAGCTAACAGCCCAATCACAAGTGAGCGTGCCGAAGAGCAGAAGGAGGTCATCGTTTAAAACCGACGACTATGTTTATGACTTTGGGGAGGAAGGCGAGGGGGAGGATGAGGAGGAGGAGGAAGAAGAAGAAGAGGAAAGGAGACCAAAGAAAGCCATGAAAGCAGATTGGGACTTTGTAGCATACTGAGTTTTAGTATTACATTCATGTGGTTTGTTGTTATTCACAGGAAAGAAAATAGTATTAATATTATCAGAAGTACTCTTATGTGCATTTTAATGACATACAAACCTTGCTCACTTTTGACTGCGGTCGCTCATCATAGTGAAACTCTCAGGAAACAGTCACTGGGCACAAAAGGTCAGATTTTGATCCAGTAATGTTTGTTTGTTTGTTTCTTTTTCACTATGATTATGATTGACGACAGAGAAAAATGCAACTATTGATAATTAGGTGTTGACCTTCTTTGTTCCTGAGCTATCAAAATGCACAATACGGAAAATGAAAAGGTGAGGAATGTAAAAACAATTCAACCACATGTAAGCACTTGACTCAGCTTACATGTATAGTCTAAACAGGTGAAGCCACTTCAAGTTGTAAAGAAATGATTGAGAAGTTCATTGTGAAGTGACTACATGAGTTTTTAAAACCTTCACTCCTCCTACAATGGTTTCGAAATGAGCCATTATTTAAGTCCCATGGTGACTGATTGTGTGGCTAGACTGCTATAAGGATGGCCAGCTATTGTTTCTATGTGGTAGATGTTAAATCAAGAGATGTGAGTCTGAGTGTTAGATAGCATCACTGTGTGATTTGCGTGTTAGTGGATGCTCACTGTGCCAGTAATGTTTTAACAGGAAGTGATCAAGTAAAGGAACAATATTCTGGAGTACCTTGCAAGGGATAGCATCCCTTCCAGGGGTTAGCAATATACCTGGTCTTTTTGTGCCACAGAAACCAGGATATGCCTTTGTTCCATGTGATTATGAACTCATTTTTTTCAACGTCAAAATACTTTACCATCTTTTAAAAAAAAAAAATAAGATGAGAGTTATCAAACCTCTGTTAAAAGGTTTACAAAAAAGTGAAAAGCATGGCCATATTACCGCTAGACCTACACTGTAATTAGTCTTTTTTGCCCCATTGTACTGTTGTGTGGAGTACATTAACTGACTTAATTTGATTGGCTATTACCTATTTTGGGAAGGGGGACTCAATAAGTTTTGATTGTTTTTAGGGGGAGGGCTTTTAAAAATGAGTGGGAATCAAATAGGTCCTAAGAGGATTTAACAAATTAGTATTTTACTGTAATAGTATTATATTTTGACAGCTTTCATTTTCCACTTATTATTCACTAGCTAGGCCAGTTTTAGATGACAGTCATAAGCATTTTACAATGTATTTTACTGGTAATTTTGTATACTGGACATTTTACCTGAGCCATTCTATGTAGTCATCATTTACCTAAGTAATATTATTATTAATTTATTATATGGCAAGTTAGTCTTGAGGTAAAACTGAGTGTTCTGATTGGTTCTTTCTTGATTGGGATTTTGCTACATGGACTGTTTCCATAGGAATGGCCATAAGCCATGTATTTTTTGTGTTTGAAACCTTGCAAATTCAAGTCCCAAATGCCATGTAATAAACTAGTTACTAATAAACCTAGTTTGCTTGAGCCGTACTGGAGAATGTTTGCCCATGGTTATTTTTGAATGGACCACATTGTGCTCGGTCTGTACTGCCACAACCTGGGGCAAATATTCCCCAATATGTCCCGGGCATTCAGTTAGTAAGAGGTCTAACTTACTAGAGAAGTGTTCAACTGTCAATCATTTAAATATTTACTATTTTAATGCTTACCCTGTATTCCTGAAGTTTAACGACACATTTAATATAAACAAATAATTACCAACACATTTAATATAATGGTGGATATATTCGTTATCAGCCTTACTTTTTACTGGACAGATAACAACTGGTTTCAAGATTCAGATTATAACTTATGAAGGAATATTTTTCTCCTCAAGACAATGCCCCAAAAATAGGGTTTGAAGTTCTTATTCTTATCAGGAGCATAGTGAAAAAAAAAATAGTGAGCTGGCTTATATTAGTGGAAATCCTGCAGCCAGCTATTGATGTCATGTGTAAACCCAGAAGCCCTTCGGTGGGGTGGTTGGGGATTTTTTCTGAAGCAACCTGTTTTTAATTTACCACAATAATCAAACAGTACAAAACTTACCCAGGGAAACTGAAAACAACGTCAGTCTAAGCTAAGGATTAGGCAGTTAACAGTAGGTTGTTGGGAATACTTTGTTTCATGGCTCTTCCAATGTTTTCTGATGTACCTGGTTTTGGTATGCTTCTATCTCTTTGCTCATTTAGAAATCTTAGTCTGCTAGGTAAGCAAGAGGGAATGTAGAACCTAACATGTGATCAGGCAGTTGTTTTTTGTGTGGTCGATCCACCGCCAAAAAAATCAGAAAAAATGAAGAGTGCAGGTTACATTTAACCCAGTTATTATTGGACTACATACATTTGCATCTTAATATTCCTTAAAAGGCTTTTACAAATAGATACGCATGTCAAGTAATAGTCGAAGTAGCATGTAAAGATTGCATAGTGTGATGAAAGGTGAAGATCACAAAAAGAAACAAAATATAGTGATGAGTATTTAATTTGTCCTAAAAATATCTACCTGTTATGATATTAGCAGGTTGCAAGAATTTAGCAACTCATCTGTCACCTTTACATATCATTAGGCCGGGGGTGATCAAGTGAATATTTCATGTCCGGCTACGTACTGAAGGCGTAATTACATTGTATCAAGTATGAAATTTGAAGTGTTATTCAGGTTATTTTCATATTCTTGAACATATTACAGTGTGACTGACTTTGAAATAAAAAAAATCAAAACTTTGTTGTATCTTTGTGATACCCCTTATTTAAATTAATGTTAGTGAAATAGTGTTAACTTCTAAATTGTCCCCAGCAGGGTTACCCAGTTCTATTATAGTGACAGGGGTTGTGTGAAGCCCTATTAATTTTGTGATCTGAGATGGTGTTCAAAATAATGCAATGCCCCACCCCCAGAACATGCATGGGAAAAATGGGAGGGAGGGGTGGGGGGTGTTTGTTGGGCAATTTTCTGGGGCAGGGTTTTTTTTTTTTTGTCACCTACAGGTTGAGCATGAATTTTTTTTGGTGGGCAACAGCTTATGCAAGAATTCTTTTTAAAGTCAAACACAGGACCTGGATAGTAGAAAAGTGCAAGAATTATTTTTGGAAATTGCCCAACGCTCTCCTAAAAAAAAATAATGGATCTTCAATATGTTCAAGGCACAATTTTCGGACCACCCCTCCCTAACAATAAGGGTGTTTGCCTCGTTGTCAGTCACAGCAACATCATGCAAATTTAGCGACCATCGAAATCAACACGAGAAGGAATGTGATGCTAGTTTTTGGTGGATTTTTCTTCTGGCATGGGGTTGAATTGCCTGAGAGCATAAAGAAGATGGATTTAAACATTTAGAAAACGTTCAGGGACGTAGATTCCGTTGTTTGGTGTTATCTTAAAGGAACCACTGTCTCTAATAGAGATCAACGGCATTACTGGTCGCCATTTTGAAAATCTGTCTATCGGGGTTTGCGTCGGGCGAATCTAAGAGAACATGACGAATCTTGAGGGAAATAATCGCAAATGGACACAAGATGAAATCATCAACAACACAAAAAACGTTGTTCGGGGGTTAGAAACCTTGAAAAATGAACATTCGGGGATCTTGAATAGTCTCAATTCGAACAACGAGAGCGATGGAGAGAACGAGTTAGAGCGAGAAAAGGGCTCTATCATTCAGGAATCGATCGACAAGATTGAACTGGGATTAGGAGAAGCCCAGGTGAGTATTCTTCTGAGAACTGTGTTTATAAGAGGGGTTTGTTTTTTCCCTGAACGATGGGTGTATCTAAGCTCATAAGGCTTAAAATCAAAAAAAATTGATGAAAACATGTACACCTTTGCTACGCAACCATGCTGGCGGGTACTGCTAGAGCTCGTGTCCTATTTATTACTCCCTAGATAAGAATTTATACCACCTAAGTGTAAAGATCAACTTGTAAAAATACGAAGGGAAATTTAACATCCAACATCTTAACGAAAGGGAATTATTTATATAGATATTTTTCTCTTTGCCGCTGACAGTGCTAAAAATTCATCGATCGTGACAGATATTTTAGTGAATTTCTTATCGTGTGTTAAAATCTTTCCTGTATTGATGTAGTCACGAGAAATCCCTGTCCAAAGCAATGTGCTGCTGCTTTTGTAGTTTCTTGTTCAGTTATGTCGGATAAGAAATTATAGGTTCTTTCACCATTTACGTGTATGCTTAATTTGCAATTTGTTCATAAAAACATCTTTTTGTTGTCTTCACTTGAGGAAGAACAGCAAAATAATGACATAAAACTCGTGTCTTTTGTATTATATTTACAATCCAAAGCTCTGTGTCGCAAGTTTTGAATTTAACACACGAGAAAAAAATATAAATCGGGTCAGAATTCGCCCTTGTTGCCTACCAAAATGAAATTAGCCCTCATTAGAAATTTCAAACAATGCCAAGCACTTTAAGTGTTTGGTTTAAATTATTTAAGAGTTTAGCTCAATAACTTGCACTATGGGTGTCCCAAAGTGTAAAGAGAAAAATAACTACAGTACTTTCTTGTCAAGGATCGTTGTTTTGACTATACATTGGGCTCTCTTACATTGCTTGTTAGACACAAGCTAACTTTACTTATCTAAATTGTATTATTTTTCTCTGGAAGTTTACCATGATGTTATTGAAAGTCTTTACACTGACTGTCCTTAACTTTCTTGCTGAATGTGTTCATTTTTTAAATATTTCACAGTTAATGAAATTATGTTGAAATTGTTGTCTGGTGTAAAGCCACTTTTCCAGTTTCTCACAGACAGACAAAAAAAGAGAAAATTCGTAACTAATTGCACTGTCTATTAAATTACATGCAGTATTTCTAGATTTTATTTCTTTGTTTATTTTCCATGTAAAAGGTGATTTGTTGTTCTCATTGAAAGGCATAAACTACTCAAAACACTCTTTAACTGAGTAGTTTTAGAAAGAACATTGTTTTACAGTATACAAACCTTAAACTGACACTCAGGTTTTTGATTTCCACAAACATTCAAAAAATGCTACTTGAGATGCCCACACTATATTTATAATAAGCATTTTTTGATTAGTCAAGACTACAACTATTTCACAAATGTGACTGGCCTGTGAAAAAAAAAAGTTAATAATAATAATTGTGTATAGAAACAAATCAGTTTTAATTATTCACTTTCTTCTAGCATGTTCAGTTTTATGGATAGCTGAATTTTCAAGATTGCAACAAAAGGCATTGAAATATTTGACACATTAAATTACAAGCAATGTTTGTGAGTCATTGTTGAGTTCTCATGATAAAAGTCCTCAGTAGTGTATCTCTGGGAAGTCAAATCATTTTGCATATTAGAAAGTGAAAGCAATATATCCAGCTTTTATTTATACATTGAGAGTTGAGGAATTTTATCTTGATCCTAAAAATAGTATTATGACTGATTCAAAAGATTAAGCAATCAGTGTATGCGGAATTTCATATCATGCCATGGCCTTGTAGAGAAACCCGTCTTGCTCTGAATTTTCGTCACTAGAACATATCTGAAGCAATTATTTAAGGTGAAATTCTTTGTAAGTGATGAATGACAATTTTGTCTTCTGTACATAATTAGTATAAATAAGTCAATCAAAAAAGACAGTCAAGTTATTCAAAGTTGTAGTTCTGTTCATTTTAACTTATGCTCTGACACTGTCTTCCAGTTTTGGGTAAATACTGCTAAATTTAGCTCTGTAAATACTGTAGCAAGTCTTCCATATGTGGTTTCAGCCATTAGGGATGATTATTACAGCACAAACTACATATTTAAAACTCATTCCAGGTACATGTAGATTCTAACAACCATAACATATGTTTTATGTAGTCTACTAATGTATGATTCTTTTAATACTTATTTGAGGTTTTTAAAACATTCACTTGTCATTAAATTACAGCCCTTGCTGTATTTTATTAGTTGTTGTATAAATTGTGAGTATTTTTCCTGACACTATGTGTCTTTATTTCCTGCTAGGTCATGATGGCTTTGTGTAGCCATCTTAGCACAGTCGAGGCCGAGAAACAGAAATTAAAAGCTCAAGTGCGAAGACTTTGTCAGGAGAATGCATGGCTCAGAGAAGAGCTGTCAGTCACACAGCAGAAACTACAAGAAAGTGAACAAAAGGTTGCCCAGCTGGAGGAAGAGAAGAAACATCTGGAATTCATGAACTCTATCAAAAAATATGATGACGTGAGTGTTTTTTTTCTTTCATTTCCATATAAATGAACTTCCTTGTCTGAATGACACCCACTCCAGAGTGTTTCCTAAAGTTCACAGTCTGAATTTCATTCATTTATTTAGTTTATTTTTTTCCATTTTTTCATGTTTTGTGCTCATCAAATGTGGAATTACTTACGTAGGATAAACATGTAAGTGTTACACTGTTCTTTTTATTTTGTTTGTTCTTGTGCAATATCACTGTATACCTAAACTTTGGGGTTTTGTTTCTCATTCTCCAGTTTGTTTGCTTCATATTAAAAGATAGAACTTTACATAAT